TTTAATATATGTCTGTCATTTCAATTTAAAGTCGAGGCATAATTAAAAATATAAAGACGATAAATGAAGCCATCAAAACAACCATCAAAATAATTACCCTCATCATTGGAAAATCTACCACAATTGGAACAACCCAGGATATTCATTCAGGACAGAAATTAATATTCAACAATACTCAAGATTTATCTATATAACAATTGTTTATTATATTATATTATTAAAACATTATTGCAATAATATGTATATATAATTATATAAATATTATAATTAACATTTTTACTGAATTTAAATTTATTAACTTACCGTAGGGTAAGTTATTGTAATCGCAAAAATAGAAAATGAAAATTTTTATATATCTTTACGTTCCAGAGGTTTTTGAACATTTTGGCTTACCTTACAATTAGAATAAATTGATGTGTGTGTGTGGATACAATTTTTCGTCCACGTTTTCGGGTGCACAGATCAACCGATTTGAATAGTTTATACAACATTCGATCCGTATTGATAAGGAGATGTGCTGATTAGTTTTTGGCAAAAGCAGGTCCAGCCGTTTCGGAGATACGAAGCAAAGAGTGCAGAAAATAGTAATCAAATTTCGAGAAGATAGAGCATCCAAATTGAAGGGTCCAAAAAAACATTTAATTCGTAATGATGGGGAAAAGTAGTGATTAGTTTTTGTCAAAGGCAGGCCCAGCCGTTTCGGAGATACCGGCAAAATGTGCAAAAAATAGCAGTTTTTGAAAGAACTAAGCGTCCAATTTAAATGATTCAAAGAACTTTCAGCTTGTTTTAACAAAATAATTGATTTTGGAAAAAAAATTGTATCATTTTTTTTTTGTACATCGAATATAAATCAGATTTTATTTTTAATTCTGACTAAAGCTCTAATATACTTTAAACATATAATTTCAACTTTGCAATTCAGTTTATATGATTCTTATAAATATTAGACAATGTTACAATCTATTTGAAAACATTCAGTATTCCTCCTTCAGTATACGGTACGGGAAGTTCCAGCAATTTGCCTTAAGGCACGATGCCATACATCACTAGTTTAAATTTTGGATTGATTTTAATTTACTTGGCAATTCAAACTTTATTCCTTACAATATCGACAATATACAATATTTTACAAATTTCATTTTTACAATGATTTAAAAAATAATAATAATAATTTTATTATAAATTCTTTTGCAATTTAAATTACAATTTTATATTAATTAATATAACATATATTAAAATATATACATGTTATTAACGAATATTAATTTTAGCATCATAAGCATTATTTAATAATTATTCAAACGCAATAACAAAGAATGCAAATGCAACTTTATAACTATATAAAAAAAATAAAAAAAAAACTCAAAGCACATAAAATCTACACAAACCAATTGTGTACACACAAATAGGTAAATAACAAATCAAACTCACCGTTTACAACAGTGCAAAAATTTCCGCAAAATTTCAAAGGAATCAATATAACCCACGACGGATTGAGGTTATAGCACGCAATTCTTGCATCATTGTCTATCCATCTACTACTATTCACCACATGACTAACCTTTGTACTTGGCAACGTAATTAACTCATTAATTATTATATAATTAAAAGAAAAAACAAAACCGACACGGACTGAGACGACGTGAATCCGTTTCCACGACCGATTTTGTAATGAATATCATTGCGTTTCATTCAATCAAAAAACGATATTACTAGAGAATTTTCGATAGTCGTCCTCGAGAGTGGGGACGCATGCGTGTAATAAAAGACACAGAAGTGTGTGTAGTAAAAGACACAGAAGTGTGTGTTAAATTCGCGGACGTCACGGATGACGGTGGTAATGGATCGATTGCAACATTGTAAAATGATAGATTTGGGGCAATTGGGATTGATTTTCTTAAATAATTATTTTTGTTGAGGATGATGCTATTGGTGATGTTTATAGATGTATAATGAGTTTTGTATGATTTGTTTGTGTGTGCTGTTTGTAGTTCGAGCGGTTGTTAAGAGATGACGGTTGTAGTTTGTCCAGGCATGGAGGTGGTTGTATAAGGAGTAGTCATGAATGGGGCCAATTCCCCGATAAAATAGAATTATAATGTTACGGGTAGGGCTTCCAATACCATACTAAAATCTGAATTCCGGTATTCGATATTTAAAAATTGCAACACCGGGATCCCGGTATTAATACCGGTATTATCAATGAAAAATGTACTAGTCATATTTTTAGTTACCTAAGTTGTTATATTGACATATTAATATTATTATTATTCTAAAATGAGTACACGGCACCGTGCCTTGAGGCAAATTGCCAGAACTTCCCGTACGATTTTTTTTTTTTTTTAAATTAACATTTTTGAAGAAAATTTACTTCGAAAAAACTAGATTTTTAAGAAACTATAAATTTTTGACAAAAATTTACTTTTTTCTGAAAAAAAGACAATTTGAAAAAAATGTTTTCTTCAATTTGACATATTTTGGAAATTCTGATTTTTTTTCAAAGCAATTGTACTGCTTTAACTGCATAGAGACGAAATATCGAAGCGCGTAAGCGCCGCGTCGCCGTCTAACGGATAAACATTGGTACGGAACCCATAGGAATGTAAACAAAATTGATACACATTGTTAAAATCTCTATAAAATATCTGATAACTTGATGTGCATGCGTCTAATGATCATTTTTGACCGCCGGATGGCTTTTTTTTTCACTTTTTTCACTAGATTCTTCGCCCAAAACTAATCAGCACGCCTCCTCATCAATACGAAACGAATGTTTTTAGAATTATTCAAATCGCTTCATCCGTTTTCCCGAAATCGTCGACGAAAATTTGTATCCGCACACACATACACACCCGCACACATACACATACACACACACACATACACGCATACGTCCATTTTTTTTAAGGTATGCCAAAATGTTCAGAAGGATTTGAAACGTAAAGATATATAAAAATTTTCATTTTCGACTTCTTTGCGATTACTATAACTTACCCTAGGAAAAATTAAAAAAGAGCGTGCGTAAGGTTCACACGCGATTGAAGTAAAACTTATTTGCTACTGTACAAGATGGCATTTAAATAAAAATAAATACATCATATAACACTTTTGAATAATGTTTATTAGTAATATGGTAACACTCGTGATGCACACATTTACTAGTGTCAACCCAATTATATACATTTATAAAATGATAAATTATAAATTATATATTTATAATAGCATTAAAAATGTATAATATTTAAAAACAATATCGTAATTAAAGTCATACTTCAAATATGACATGATCGGTTTGTCATTGCAATTAGCATTTAAGACTTGGACCTAATAAATTCTTTAATATTTGTTCACACAGTGGATTATGTTAAACAACGCCTAAACAAATATTGTTTTCACAATTTCGCTCATGATGTAATAATTGTGTTTGAAGAACTTCATGTAATGAAAATTAACATACATTCATTGACTGGTTGTATTTTTTTTTATAAAAATATTATATTTTTATAAAAATGGAAATATCTTACTACTAATTTATATTTTTCTATAATGTTATCATCGAAAACGAATGACGAATCATTGGCACTCGACTCGGCCGTAACGCACTTTCGTTGCATTTTCATAGATTTACACCCTAGTCGCTCCTAAAGAAGTTTTACTTCAAAAATAATAAAATAATATATACAATATATTGAAAAACATATCAGAGTTGGACAAAAATCTCTATCGAAATTCATTCAAAATCGTTCAGATAAAAATGGAGATGAAAAATTATGTAAATACTACAATAATTCTTACAAAATAGGGGTCTGTCATAAGAGGGTAAAAATTTAGGGTAATAAGCGTTTTCTTTTCTCACAAAAAATAAAAATTGGCTCAAAAAATTGAACTAGTGGTGTATGGCATCGTGCTTTAAAAGGCAAATTGCTGAAACTTCCCGTACCAAAAACTAATTTTTTAAAAAAAACTGCAAAACTTTGAAAAAAATATATTTTTGAGAAATTTTGACATTTTGGGGAAAAATTTACTTTTTTGAAAAATTCTATTATTATATTGTTTTTTTGTATTCAGATTTTTTGATAACTGTGAACATTTTTTTAAGCAATCGCGCTACAAAGCTGATTTGAAGTCGAAATATAAAAGCGCGTAAGCGCCGCGTAATCGTCAACTAAAGTGTAAACATTGGTTCGGAACCCATATAAATGTACACAAAAGTACTTATTATAATCTTGATAGAATATCTTATGATACGATGTACATATGTCTAATGTTCATTTTTGACCGCCAAATGCCTTTTTTTATTTTTTTTTTATTGAATATCCGAAGGCGCAGGACCTGACTTTACAAAAATTTCACCAGTTGTTCATTTAATAATTCTTTGTTTCTTTCCTGAAAGAGAAGTTTATAAGCTTTCTTCCGAAAATTCGATTTTCTTTTGGTAAATTAACATTAGCCAGAAAAATAAGTTACCGTTTTTTGTTTTGCCCGGTATCTTCGGAACGGCTGGACCTGCCTTTGCCAAAAACTAATCAGCACGTCTCCTTATCAATAAAAATCAAATGTTTTTTGAATTATTCAAATCGGTTGATCCGTGTTCGCCAAACGGCGACGAAAATTTGTATCCGCACACACACACACACATATACATCCATTTTTTCTAAGGTATAAATCTTTAAAACGTAAAGATATGCAAAAATTTTCATATTCGATTTTTTGCGATTACTATAACTTACCCTACGGGAAGTTAATAAATTTTCGGGTATTTTACTGAAACCTTTACTTGATTTCAATGAAAATACGCAAAAACCTGCCCAGGGATGTTCTTAATAGCTTCCCAAATTTTTACGCATATATGATTTATAAAAAAATATTATTAAAATTTAACAAATTAAGTTCCACCATGTATCTATTATATTTCTCCTCACCCTCTTTACCTCCACGATCAGCCATGTGCAAGTAGTGAGTGTTGCAATTGTCAAAGTTGTTTACAAGAATTTCTTTGTAATTATATATAATTACTTGACCTCTTATCAATAAATCAATTATTATGCAATAAGAAATGGAGCAACAATGTCGCATTTGTACTCAGCAAGCTAATAGAAATATGATACCCATATTTACAGAACGCAGCACCAAATTGCAAATGCTTATTTCTGATGTTTTTAATAAATTAACAGGTTTAAATATAGTAAAAGATTCATTACCGAATTGTATTTGTTGTAGTTGTTTGGGACATTTGGAAAATGCTTTTGAATTTCGCACAATTTGTATAAAGTCTGAGGAAAAATTGAATAGGAATCATGATAGTAATGAATGCGGGGAAGTGGATATAAAACTTGATGATGATTGTGATATAAACCATGATGATGATCATGATATAAACCATGATGATGGTCATGATATAAACCACTATGATGATCATGGTATAAACCAGGATGATGATCATGGTATAAACCAAGATGATGATCATGATATAAACCACGATGATGATCATGATATAAACCACGATGATGATCATGATTCCAAGTCTGAGATTGTTGATGAAGATGATAAGTTTGATTGTGATTATACCAATGACAATTTTGCATCCGACGATGAGCTACAAAGTGATGCAAGTGTGGATGGAAATCTATTTGATTCAATAGCTATTGAACCAAAGACATACAGTTTTCGTAATGGTACAACCAAAACTATTGAACCCCTATTCAACCAAGATGACTATTTTGGTTCTTCCAAAGACATCCTGCAAGACAAACCTAAAAAAAGCAGAAAACTAACAAATCTATGCAACATCTGCGGCAAAGACTTCAAAACCAGACGTTCCCTCAACCACCACATAAACCGCCACAACAATATAAAAGCCTACTCTTGTTCATACTGCGATACTAAACTGTGCACAAGTTACAGTCTAAAAATGCATGAGCGCATACACACTAACGAAAAACCAAACATATGCACATACTGTGGCCATACTTTCCGTACTAGTCATAATCTTTTAATCCATGTTAGACGACACACCAAAACTTTACCCTATGTCTGTTCTATAGAAAATTGTGGTAAAGCCTACCCAGCTTCTAGTGAATTAAAACTGCATGTTCGAAGCGTTCATCTGAATGATAGGAAATTTAAATGTGAAGTGTGTGAGAAAACTTATGTTGCAAAGCAGCATTTGCAAGAACATATGTTGTCTCATGAGTTGACTGAGAAGAAGTTCTGTTGTCATCTTTGTAATAAATCGTTTTTGAGGAAAGATGCTTTGAGTAGGCATCTTAGGTGCTGTCATGGGATATCGAAGAGGAAGAAAAATGTTTTTGCAACCTAGATAGAGATAAAACACATTGGAGAGTAAAAGTAACTATTTGATTATATTAATCATACAGTAGGACAAGAAAATTGTTAGTTATTAGGTGAAAAAAATGTGATGAACTGTTTAGATCAAAACCCTTGTTTTTAGTGTATTATTTATTACAAATTGATTGAAATAAAATTAATGAAAAATTAAAAAATTAAAAATTCCAATTCTTAAGATATAAATAATTTCTTAATCTAACCTCAACTTACCATGTTTTCACTTTCTGTTTACATATTTTACAATAAAGTATTAAATAAACTAAAAATAAATCTATAATATTATAATTATGAACAGATTAATTTCATTACAACCGATGACTATATTTAAATAAATAATTTTTATCAAATGTTTATTTTATTCTAACCTCAAAACTGACAGTATTCACTTTTCATCCGTTTCGCTTTAAATCTTTGTATGTATTTAGTTTATAATTTCATAATTAGTTTATGAAATTAATAAACCAATAATAATTTTTAATTTATATATAGCTTTTCTAACTTTAGTTAAAAAAAAATTTAATGAATGTTTATTTTAACCTAACCTCAAATTGATAGTTTTCACTTTTCATCCAATTCGAATAAAACTTTTGTATGTATTTAGTTTATAATTTAAGAATTAGTTTATTAAATTAATGAACTAACAGTATTTTTTAATTTATATATAAATTTGTCTCAAACTTTAGTTAAAAAAATTCTAATAAATGTTTATTTTAACATAACCTCAAATTAACGGTTGTCACTCTTTACACCTGTCAAAACTGTTAGCAATATTTTACATCAAAATATTAATTATGTATATTTATTATACTTTATTTTTATGAATTTTTAAATAATGAGCAATGAGTGACAAATGTAGAATTTGTAAAACCAAAGAAAATGAAATGTTCCAGATTTTTGAAGACCGGAGTACAAAATTCAAAATAGTTATATCATGTCTATTGAAAAAGCTAACAGGTCTAAATATTTCTCATAGAAATGGATTATTGACACGTATTTGTAATAATTGTTTGGAAAAGTTGGAAAACGCTTACGAATTTCGTGAAATTTGCATAAATGCAGAAAAACAATTGAAGGTTAGAAAAAATAATCATGCAAACTCTGTTAACGAAAGTAAAATCAAATGTGAAGACGACAATAACAAAACAACAACCACAAATAATGATTCTAATAAAGCAGCAAAACCCGACATATTATCAAGCACTGTAAAATTACCGACAATTACTACAAGTAAACTACATTTGTGTAACGTTTGCGGCAAAGACTACAAATCAAAACGATCCCTCATCCACCATCTACTATCCCACAACAACATAAAAAAATTCCCTTGTTCCTTCTGCGACATCAAACTATGTTCCCAATACAGTTTGCAAATGCACGAACGTCGTCACACCAACACCAAACCTTACATTTGTTCCTACTGTGGAGAAAGATTCAGAACCAGCGGCAGTTTATTAATGCATAGCAGAAAACACACCGGGGAACTTCCTTATGTTTGCACCATGGACGGTTGTAACAAGGCTTATCCGCAGTCTAGTGAATTGAAATTGCATATTAGAAGCACACATACGGGTGAAAGAAATTTTCAGTGTGATTCTTGTGATAAGAATTTTTTGACTAAGCAGCATTTGAAGCAGCATCATGAACGGAACCATGAACCTAAGCCGGTGGAAAGGAACTTTGAGTGTCCTGTTTGTTTGAATAAGTTTTTCCAGAAACGGTCGGTTACTAAGCATTTGAAGAATGTTCATAAGATTATAAGGAAGAATTTGTTTAATTAGTAGTAAAGGAATGTAAAACGTACTTAAAAAATGAATGTGATAACTAATGAATATAAAATAAGTATTTTAATAAGCATAATTTAGATATTTTTATGTATATAGTTTGAAAAAATATATATACACACAATAACTATATATGTTTGGTATTATTACCTTTTGTCGTCCTTCTTCTCGTTTCAAATAAGTTCTCCAAGCTGCTAAAATCTTTCTCTGTGCTCGGTGACATAAAAATGTGTGCAATTTATCTTCTAACTCTTTTTGGTTCTTCCTCTTGTGTTACGAGTGCATTGGTATTCAATTCTAGCTTATCGGTCATCATCTGATGAGAAATTAACAATTTTATAATTTAAGTGACTTTATAGATATAGAAAAGTAGATATGATGACTTTATAGTTTTAAGTATTGAATGGCAACATATCTATTGCAATTGTTATATAAAAAAAACTGCAAAAAAGCAACTCGACTTGAAATTTTTGTTGCAATAATTATTTAATTAGAAATTGAGTTTAGATTTGAAATTACAAGATAAGCAAGTGATTATGCTTATTTATCTATGGTGATAAGTACAGTAAAGCCCTTATTTCTTGCCATTTTGCTTTGCACATTTTAAATTTAAAACAATATAATATAATTAAATTTAGAAGAAAAAAAATAATAAACTAAAAGTGAAACTCATATTTATTTTCACTTTTCAAGCAAAAATAATCGCCATTTTTCCGTTGCTCAAAAGTTAAAACCAGAAATTGCACCTCATTTTTTTTACTTGTCAAGACTTATCGAATTTAATGTTTTGTTTAAGTTTTTGATAAAAAACTACAAAAATGTAACTAGATTCGAAATTTTTCTGGTATTAAATATTGAATTACATATTTAGTATAGATATCAAAATAGGCGATAAGTAGCATAATAAGTATTCATGATCAGAATGAAAAAGACATTATTTCAACAAAAAAGGAATATCTCTAACGCCTACCTGCCGTTTGTCTCATAGATTTTTACATTTTGAACACAAAAAACAGTCTATCATAATTTAATTTATAGAATAACTCGAATAAAATAAGAATAAAATGTTTAATTTTCACTTTTCACTCACCAAAAAGAACCGCCATTTTCCGTTACCCAAACTCTAACCTCATTCTGCCAACTGTCAATTACCTCGATGCCAACTTCACATTCATCTTCCGTTTGACATTTGCCCATTACGAGATATCACAACCATAACCACAACATCGCCTTAAATTCATTTAATTCCCTTAATTTCTTCTAAAAATGGCCTCAGATACCGGTGGTGTAAAACCTATGCCCATCGCGGGGCGTATGGTCCGCGAACGGGAGCGTTTAATTGGTATGTCAGAAGCTGAAAGAGCCTGGAGAGCAAAGTGGCTTAAAAGTCAAGTTCTGGCAGCTGATGAACCCAGATACGTCCCCGAATACTGGAAAGAACGCACCAACCCTATTCGTAGATTTTACAAATACCCCTTGGACAGGTTTCAAGAGTACCTGGAACCTAAAATCGTATGTATGTCATGACTGTTATGTAACTTCATTTTCACACTTTTCATACT